ACTTATAAAAATTCAAACTATAATTATTATATAATACTTATTTGATAATAAAAAACATTATTTATTTTATATTTCAAATTGAGTCAAACAATGAAAGAGTGAATATATTAGGAGTAAACTCTTGGGGTCAGGCATTAAAACTAGCCATTGATTGGAAACCTCAATCGTCAAACACTTCTACAATTAAAGTGAGTTTTCATTTTGAAGACGGAAAGGGAGGCATATATGAAATGGTAGAACAAAATCTGGTTCCGTATGACAAACATAAACGCGAATACAAAGCGCCGGGAATTTCATTAGAGATACTCAACCCGTTTCGTCGATTGAGAATTAAATTTAGAGGATATGTCACAAAAAGGGGATCAAATAAATTGGTTTTCCTCAAAATGAGACTCTTATGGATAGCCATGTCTAATGTGTTTGACTTTGAATGCGATCACAAAAGAGAATTCATTGAAAGCGAACTCAAAAGTAATTCAAAGTTGAAATCATTGGATGAAATAAAGTTTGAGAATAGATTTGAACAAATGGGACAAATGAAGGGCACGTTTCAGGCGGACGATCGCGACGAAGAGAAACTGTTTTTGTGGGGAAATAAGAGTAAGAAATATGTAGAAGAAAACAGTCGACGAAAAATATATCGATTATTTGGTTATTCAAAGGTATTCTATATTTTTGTTAATATTTGTTAGAAAATCAAACAAAATGCAGAAATAAAACCATATTAAATTAAGCACTTTCATTTTATAAAAGTGAAAATATAGATCAACAATTAAGTTAATGCTCCTTAAAATAATAATGTTTACATACGAATTGATCCAGGTTATACTATAAGTTAATAGTATAAATGATCCTGTAATCAAATGGGATTTGTATAATGGAAATATGATTTAGGAAATACATTTTTTCTTATCAAGATATCACACATTTTAAAGTTCTCTTTGAAATAATAATAAAAAATATTATTATTAATTATAAAAATATTGTGGTTAAATTACAGAAAGGATGGGTATTTCATATGGGATCAGTTGTGGATCCATCCCAAGGAATCAGTTATAGATATGGGTTTGGCTTTTGGGGAAAATGTCTTATATTTCCGATCGACAGTCTCTCAGATATTCAAATAAATGAAGGATTGCTTCGAAAAGATTCTCAATTTAAGCTCAATATAATCGATAAAGTATTTGACGTTTCATTGAATACAAGTTCATTAAATGACAATATATTGAAAATTAAAATCAATGGCTTTGAAGGGAAGGCTGTGTTTATGATGGAGAATGAAGACTCGAATTTGAATATTGAAAACTATAAAAGCAATCTTTACTTTCCGTTTACTAATGCAACAAATGCTTTGGTGTTGCCTTTAAACGATAGAAAAGCCGAAAATGTTTTAATAAGTGGTGGAAAGGGATCGTCTTTGGCTTCACTCAACTATTTGAGTGAAAAACTAAAAAATAAAATTAATATAAAAATCCCAAAAGGAATTGTAGTGACAACTAATGCATACAAACTATTTGTCGGACAATACAAACAAATTAATAATAGTATCAATAAATTGAAGACTTATGTTAGGTATGAACATATATTTAAAGTTCATTAACAGAATATTATTTTATAATTCAAACAAAACTAATATTTTTTATTTAATAGTAAACCAGAATTACTAGAGAAAGAGTGCAAAAATGTTGTGAATACTATACAATCGTCACAATTATCACAAGAAATCAAAGATAATATTCGTTCACAACTTGATGTCCTTTACAATCAAAATGAGTTGAATGAGCGCTCATTTGCTGTCCGTTCCTCTGCTTCTGGAGAGGATTCTGAAGACATGTCAGCCGCCGGACAAATGACTACTTATTTGGGAGTTAAAGGATTGGATGAGATCTATAGTGCAGTCACTAAGTGCTGGTCGTCTCAGTTTGAATTCATTGCCGTTGAATATAAGCGCGGATACGGACAGGACATCAACTCATTGATGGCAGTCGTCGTACAAGAGATGGTTGATTGCGATTCTGCGGGCGTTCTCTTCACCTGTGATCCCGTGTCAGGCGATGAGCGGGAAGTCATAATTAGCGGCAATTATGGTATTGGAGAGAGTGTTGTGTCTGCGATGTCAGAACCGGACACTATTAGGGTTTCCGTAGATATCAAAGACAATTCATTCAATAACCGCACGATTGAAGGAATCAAATCCATATCCATTGGAAGCAAAGGAAAATCAATTAAAATGAATACTTCCGGCAGTGGAACAGTAGAAGTGGACACAAATGACAAAACCAAGTGTTGTATTAGTAATGACGAAGCCTTAAGACTTGCAAATATTGCTTTAGAGGTCATTTATTTTATATTTTAAAATATAATTATAATTTTATTTTGAAATCAATGAATAGATTCAGAAATTCTTCGGAAGTGTTCGCGACATAGAGTGGGGTATAAAAGACAACCAAATTGTGATCCTTCAGTCTCGTCCGGTCACTAATCTGGACTCAGGTTTCACTGAATTTGAGTTAATCCATGAACTGGATGTAGGACTTCCCTCTGAAAAGGAATATATATCTAAAGCTAATGTCGGAGAAGTAAATTATATACTAAAATAATGAGTTTATTTTATATTAATTAAATCATAAACTTGATTTCAGGTCATTCCCGGCTGTGCTTCAACCCTATTATTGAGTTATAGTTTCAAGCAATTCATGCCTCTTATGATTCTTGATTTAAATAAGTCCGAAGGCTTGCCGTTAAATATGTACTGTCCATACGCTCCGGTAGACATCTGCAATATTAACAACCATTTGTTTTTCAATATAAAAAATGTAATTATTTCTAAATTGTCATATATTTCAAAACTAATAATTCATTCATTTAGTCTGAATTTCTCAAAATGAACGATAATTCGTCGGATTACAATAAAGCAATGACCTTGTCGATTTTTGGCCACGAATTGGATCAAGAAATTATAGATGACTGCAAAGACATCGCTTCACCCGAACCTTTAAGTCTCAGAGTTCGCCGAAACCTTCATTTATCTCCTTATATGGCTTTCCCTGAATTCTTTGTCAACCGATACGAACAGAATATTCGTAAAGAGAGATATATTTTAGACCAAAAGTTTCATACAACTAGAGATATGTTTGAAGCTATGCTTTCTAAAGGGTATAATACTACAAAGGTTTGTTTCTTATGAGTTATATTTAATTAATATCTAGTATTAAATCCCTATGTTTAATTATAGGAAGGTTTGATTCATATAAAAGCAACAACGAGTTCTTCAATGTATAACCACTTGTTATTAAAACTATTATCGGAAAAGAAAAACAGTTAGTATTTGAGGTTTTTATAATATAAAACATTTTAATTAATTTTATTCATATAGATCCGCATCTATTTAATGATTTCGCATACTTGATGTCCAGTTGTGGACAGTTGGTCAGTGCAGACGTCCCCTCAGCCTTAAGACAATTGGTTCAGGTTATAGAAAATCCAAAGGATTTTAAAAATTTAAGCGATGAAAAGGCTTTGGAATATTTGAGGAATAATAAGAATAAAAGTGGAAAACAATTCAGGGATTTCATTACAAAACACGGCCACAGAGGGTATAAAGAATTTGAACCTCTAGTAAAGACATGGAAAGACAATCCCATTCCTCTCATTCAATCACTCAAAGTAAACATTTATCGTTTAATATATTTTGATTATAATATAATAGATATTTTTCATTTCAGACAATGCTTTCTGGCGACGCTTCCACTTATAAGACAATTGCAAAGGTGTCGGTCACAGAAATAGTAGATTCTCTCAAAACTCCTTTGAGTCTGAATAGGAAATTGCTTTTAAAGCACGTGATTCTGCCGCTGGCCAGGAGGGCAGTCGCCATGAGAGAGGCCACCAAATCAGCAATCATTTATGGCTGGGGTTTAAGTCGTGATGTCTTGTGGTCATTAGCCAACAGAATGCATTCGGAAGGACTACTTCCAGAACCAGAACTTTTGTTTCATATGACTATCGATGAAATCGATCACTTCATTGATTCCAGAAATCCTATTATCGTTGCAAAAGCCAAACAAAGGCGAAGACTTCAACAGAAAATGGATTCGTGGAAATTCGACGAAATTGTTTCCGGATATGACTTCCAACCCAAACATGTTAGCACTTTTTCTATGTCTTATATCACTATTAATATTTACTAATATCATCAATTAATTTAATAATTTATTCATCAGCTTATGGACAGGAGTGATGTGAAATTATCTGGAGATGAAGTAAAGGGAACGCCTGTAAGCGTTGGGAAAGTGATGGCCAGAGTTTGTGTCGCACCTAATCTTGAAGACGCTGTCAATATTCAGGTAATGAATGCTTTTATAAAATTCATATAATTATAAATAATTCAAATTTGATGGCTTAAAGGCGGGCGATATTCTTGTGACGTATAGCACAGACATCGGTTGGTCTCCGTATTTCCCAATGATTAGTGGAATCGCTACAGAAATCGGTGGACTGGTATCACACGGCGCTGTCATAGCTCGGGAATATGGTTTGCCGTGTTTGGTAGGCGCCGCCAATGCCTGTCAAATCTTCAAGACTGGAGATGTAGTACTCCTGGACTCTCAGAAGGGAATTATGTGTAGAGTAGATAACAATAACCACAACAACGGATCAATTGATTAATTGATACACTATTGTATTATTGTATTATTGTATTGACTCAACTAATTACTAATGTTTATGTGATTTACTTTGCAATAAAGCGATAAAAACTCATTTGATTTGAATGGGAATTACATGCTTTATTCAAAATAAAATTTATGAAAACTATTTAGAATTGTTTCCAAAATTTGAAATTAAAATTAGATACAGTATAGTATAGTGTATAGTGTACAGTACAATCATTAGACAATTTAATGGGACATGAGTTCAGCATTCACTCCACTTCGGCCTCCTCTCCCTCCTCCACAACAACGGAATGAGTAGTCGTTTGGTGTCTCTGAACACAATTCATGCAATTATTCGTTAAATCATACATTTTTGTCATTTTACAAACAATTCAATCATACCTTCAAGTGATGACTTCTGGCGAAACCTTTACCACAATTGGGATATTCGCAGACAAACCTCTTTTCTCCGGTGTGAGTGATCTTATGATTAGTGACATCACACGCGCGGACAGACCTATAGTGACAGCCGGGCCTGAAATCACACAAAATCATTAAGCATTCATTGATTTTTATTGCATACAATGTATGACCACACTTTCAATAAACTTGACAATCAATTGTTTACAGTCAACAATAATACTGTACTACAGCACTAGTTTTCATTAATCATTTTCAAACACATAAAACATGCATTTATTTAGAATGTAATCAATTAAAGGAATGCTTGAAGTTTATAATTTTAACACAAATATTATATTGGTTGCAACAAATATTCAATTTAAATAATTCAAATGCGGTAATTAATATCTAATTCGGTACACAATTGTGCGCTTTTGAGGACAATTTTAAGACTACCGTAATATACGGTAAAATTGTTGTGCAATAATTTTAGAAAATTGTATGACTAGTACGGTAATTGTCAAGTATTCAAGTATTATGAGACGGCATATATGTGGTCACACTTTGCACTAATTAGATATAAGTGCCGACCACTGACCAGTCACAGGCAAACGGCTTCTCTTCCATGTGAATCAATTGATGTTTTCTCTAATCAAGCAATTAATGTATCATTAAAACCATATTCAATAAGATTTGAGTCATATCTTACGAGATGCGAGTTTTGTGTGTAAGAACGGGTACAGCCTATTACGGTAGTGATAAGATATGACATTAGTATTTAAACTATGAACCAGTGATAGGAGGACAGGCATACCGGGCCAGTCGCAGACAAAGAACTTCTCGCCGGCGTGTACTCTCTTATGGTCGTCGAGATTACCCTTCACAGCGAATCTCCACTCACATCCGGGCCAATCGCAAACGTATGGCTTCTCACCCGTATGGGTACGCATATGAACCTTAACGTTGTTTTTCTATTCGCAAATTAGTTTTGTGTTAAAAAGACTGCATTTGAATAATGATTGCACCCATACCTGACTGAAGAACAGTGTACAGCCGGGCCACTCGCACGGGTACGGCTTCTCCCCCGTATGAGTTCGCATATGTGTCTTAAGAGCTGATCCCTGAATAAAGCTAAGACCACAGTCGGGCCAATTGCATCTGAAGGGTAGACATAATTAAAATGAGCACATCTTCACCACAAGATGTAGTACTCATACCTATAGGGCTTTTCTCCGGTATGGGTGCGCTTATGGTCTTTGAGGTGCACCTAAAGTGTGGCACAAATAGTTCATAAATAGTGAAAACGGCGCAAATGTTAGGACAAACCGAATGTCGTGCCACATAATTGCACCCAGGCCAATCGCACGGGTACTTCCGGGTCACTCCCGTGGGCTTCCGACCCCTTTTCTTCTTAAGGAGGGCTTCATCTGCGGCCACATTCGACACAACTCTCAGATTGTATTGATTCGCTTTGGCTTTACTCGTGCTATGATTGGGTCTCATCTTCTTCTTAATGGCAGTGTTTTGTGGCGAGTCTTCGGTGGCGTTGTTCTGCTCTTCGGCGTTGTTATCGTCAGCTGTAGAGCGCTGTCCGGCGCCCGAGAATCGCTTCACAATCGACTGATCCTTATTGTGTCTCAAGAGGTAGTGGTTCTTCACTTTGTCGATGGTATCGAACCGTCGGTTACAGAACTTACAGCTGTATTGCGTGACTACAACGGCCTCAGCGATGATAATATCGTCGGCCTCTTCGTTGCCGACCATCTCCTGATCGTTGCCCTCAACCTCTTCGCCGGACATCTCGTTCTTGACGTCCTGTTCGTCGTATTCCTGTTCCTCCTCCTCGTCCATCAGCTCTTCATTGTCTGCCGTCTCGTCGTTCACGTGATGGCCGTCATCATCAGCGGTGATAATCTCGTTGTCGTTGTTCTCGAAGGCGTCTTCGGGCAGCACTTGTGTTGTCACATAAGTTCCGTCCGAAGACTCAATCATATGAACGGCAACTATATTGTCGTTATTGTCATCCATTTGGGGCTCAAATCAGCGGAAGACCTCTTCGTACAAACTGTCACACGGTTTAAGACAATGGTTGTGGCGATCGGTGACTGAAAAGCAGACAAAAGTTACTTTTAGTCCAACTTTTGACACTTAATTCAACTGTTCTTCGAGACGAAGAAGTTTTTGATTAAATGATTAAAAAGTTTGACAAATCAATAAAAAGGCAAACAATTGGTGGGAAAGTGATGGCAAAAGTGTGTGAATAGAGTGAATGTATGTCTCCAATGGGTTTATACCGTGTTTTTGAGTGCTTTGTAAATACGGTACTAATTGTGAGACAATTGGATCCAATGAAAGGATTCAACCGATCATTGAGTCAATGTATGGCTAAGTAGTCGTCATTTCTGTGTTAAGATTGCGAACCAAACGCCGAAAACCACATTAAACTCGTTGTCTATCATAGCATTCAATACAATAATAATGTGTTTTGAAAACTTAAAAAATATGTCGTTTTGGTTGCCGTTTGCATCCAAAAGGGAGTCAAACATAATGTCGTTTCATATGATATTCAAACAGCACTTAATGAACACCACATCCATTCATATAGTATTAGGAAATTACGTCAAAATTAACTCACATTTCGTTTGTCCGGACAATTGATTAGTCGCCGATGAAGTGACCATTGAGTGCACCAAACAGTGCTGTCATAGCATTGGTGGCACTTATGCTGGCAATCAGTCTCGCAATACAGACATACAGACAATGCATTCATTCACACACTCTCTCCAAACAAAATGGAGACACTGTTGGTGTGTGTGAGGGGACAGGCATTCATCACCGCCCCACTCACCCAACACTACAGGCAAACACTTACTGTACCACCTTGTTCACTTTACAGTTACGCTATTATTATTAATATAGTTATTGTATGAATGGAAATATACCTAGTCTTAATTGACAATTAAACTTATTACATTTACTTTGTCTACTTTGTATACATATCTCTATTTGATAACAAATAACTTAAAACATGTACTTAATCATTAACTTTAATGGTTAACATAACTACACTAAAAGTTTAATGTTACCTGTTTAAATGAATGTATTAATCGTATTCATTTGCACATATAATCAGCATTTAATTGACTTTTATATAAATGAATAACAAATAGCTATAACTATATTTGGGACAAATGTATGACAATTACAAATATATGACTAATAAATGGGTGATAATGGCTAAGAGTTGTCTGGTGTGTGGTGTTGATGGCGAAACTGTTTCATGTATTGACTGATGGTTTGTGCCATTTGTTGGTCTCTGAGGTACCGGTTCTTCTGTCCGACAGTCATGGGTCCGAAGCCACGGCCGTCAGTGTAGGACCAGTCGGGGCCGTCCGTCACCACCGATGACTGCCTCTGCCTCTCACCCATTCCTCGCTGTCGACGCCATTTGCGGACAGTTATGCCACGGATGGACACCAGACATACACTCCTCGATAATACGTTTAAATTCAATGATTTGATTAACATTTGGATTGAATTGAACGGCACTTCACTGAACAACACAAATGCTATGCTTTCAAAGTGTATTGATGTGCGAAACACGTGACCATACAGTTGGGCACACGTACTGGCAATGGCTCACAACACAGGGTATTCATATGGTCTTATATTTCATATTAGATTGTCCAGTCTGTTTTATTAATTACCGGTTTTAATTTTATATGGTTCTCAATTGACCTAAAATTAAAAAAGTTAATTTATTAAAAATTTAATAATACTGTACTACTAACTCAATGCTGTACAGAATTAGTATCAATGAATCAATGACCACAAGAATAATTTTAATTCTGGCGCTCAATACATAATATGTGTTATTGTATTCAATATCAGTTAAGAATATCAAATAATATATTCTCAAAATGAACTAAAAAACAAATTTTAAATTTGAATTCAAGAAGAAATGTTAAATTAAAAATATAAATTTTAGAAATCTATCTATTTAAACATTACTTATATTTATTAGGATTTCTTTAAATTAAGATGTCTTATGATTCATAATTTATGAATTTTATAAATAATATTCTTACAAAGATATTCAAATACATGCATTTAATTAATTATGCGAATATCCGGTTCATTCTGGTAGTCATGCAATCATCGATAACTGATTCATTGGAGTGATTTGTGATAGAGTACTGTATTTGCAAAACTTATTTGAAACTTCTAATAATAACTTTTGTAAAATGAAATCTATTTTTAAAACCACTGCCAAACTCTCACTGGAAAGTTGTCACTCAAAATGCCAACTTTAATAGTAATTGTATTGCTATTGATTGGTGTAAATGCATTACTCATAGAAAGTGGTGAATCTGGTCCAGCAGTTGGATCTATTGACGGACACATTGTTGTTGAACAAAACGGGACACAAATTCTAAACGATTCGCAGCTTTTGAGTACAGGTTTGGACACCAAAGCCAATGTTGAGATCCGAAACTCAAGTCATTTGACACAAGTGTCTTATGCCTGGTTTGTGGACGACTTTGAATTCAAAGCCACTCCGAGTCCACAACTCGTACACCGTTTCCATTGGCCTAAAGAATACAAACTAATGGTTGTTATTCTCGCCAATGAATGCAAATCTCAAGACGTTTGTAGCGCTAAATGGGGTATAATTTCGCGCAAAGTTAGTGTCATTGAAGATCATAAAGAGGCAAAGATTTCTGGAGATTTGCTTTGGACGGAAGCTATGATAAGACCGCGGAGAAGATATTCGGATAAAGATTTTTATAGCATTTATGGCGCTCTCATTATCGGTGGCGCTATTCTCATGACTTTGATATTGGTTTCAATTATTATTCACACAATAATACTTTGCGACAAAAGATCAAATAAAATGGAAAATAAGAGATCATTGATTGAGAGTAAGAAAAATAATATTAAATATCGTTATTATACTATTGATGAATAAATATACTGTAATTCTCTTATATTGAGTTCAAAATCTCATTATATATTACTAACAATTTTAAGACTACTTTCCTTAATTTTTTGGTGATATATAAACTCAACTATAATTGAATTCAACAAGAATTATGTCATTCCTGTCTCTGTACTACAAATAAAGACATTTTAAGATAAATAAATTCATGTGATTAACGAAAAACTATGAATAAAATGCTATTGATTTCTAAATTCAATACAAATGTGGGTGTAAATTTGAACTTAAATAAGTAAGCTACAATTGTATTAATTATACATATAATATTTTGATTAATTGAAAAATCTTTTATCAGAAATTGAATTCAATGATATGTAAAATAATTCAACTCTACTTAACGCTTGTTAAAGCAATAAATCTTGTGAAATGTCAAATCCCATAAAAACAAATTAATTAGATTTAAAATTAAATATCTTTTCCAAAATAAAAAACACTTGTCAAATACTGTAATTGAGAAATTGGTTACTAGGGTATTGTGAAATTCTAAAACATTTTTAATACCATTTTAATCATTTTGTTTATTATAACTGGAAATAGTGATAATCTGACACTAAATGAGTAATTATCGTTAAACGTCTGATTTATGTCAAACAACAGGAAGTCTTCACATGAGATGAGAATAGTGATCAAAGTTTCAAAAATTCCTTTTTTTGTCTTTATGACCAGTTCATGACCAGTTATCTCACGTAATATTAGGCAAATAAAATAAACAATATAATGACTAATAATTTAATTTTTTAATATAGACAACCCGAGTTTGGTGTACTATTTGTAAATAAATTAAGGTTAACTCACGAGTTCTTAATGTGTTATTGTTTGTCAATTTCCAAAACTGAAGGGCAAAGGATTAAATTCAAACTCCAGTAGTTACTGACCATTACTTTTATTTATTTGTCAAATTTCAGGGTTATTTTGTTTACCACATTATTTGACCCTCACTTTAAGTCAATATGTTATCATCAAAAATATAAATGATTTGTTTTAATTGTATTTTAATTGTAGTTAAAAAAATACTGATATAGTTAAAATATATATTTAAATAATTATAATTAGTTATATAATAGACATAAAAATGATATATAGTTTATATACATAAGTTATATACAAAAATAAGACCCAGGGCAATGTTTGTTCACTTGCACTGGGATCGCCACCACTTACGTCTCAATTCACTGATAATGCCGTTTGCCTTCAAATGGTTGATCGCAAGATTGAAACTCTGAAGAAGTGGAGAATTCTTGGGGAAAGCGATTCCATACCTGCGATCGTGAGGCAGACCGGAATCAATGGTCGTTAGATCGCATCGATGGCCACTTATATACTCGTTATGAGACGATTCCCCTATAAATATGTATTTCCCGGATGTGATACGTCTGAGTGCATCGGTATATGAGATGACAAAATTGGATGAATTGGATGATATCATTCGCCACATCTTTCTGATCACTGGATCTTCGGACGATTGGAAAGCCCTTCTCGTGGGACCGCTCTCTAGGATACCAAATGAGATATTGTCCTGATTTGCTAAATCACTCCAAGACCTGATTTGATTGGTCTGTGATTTAAGCAAAAGCGCAGAAATTCCGCTCTCGAAGAATGGGGTCGAGAAGTCGACCACAGCTTTGCGGTCGCTATTGATTGTGAGGTCAGCCACCGCTATGTCGGCGCGCTTTGCAGACAAATGAATAGAAATTTGTTGTGAAATTTTATATACAAATAATACGGTAGTATCCGTATGTAGTAAATACCTGTTTCAGCAATTCTCCCACCATTCCCGTCCATTTGCCGTGAAAATTAAATCCGTAACCATTTGGTGATAGATATAGAGAAAAATTATGTCCATTGAGTTGTGTTACTTGTCTCATAAGATCGACGCAAAAGCCTTCGAGAACTTCTTCGCCATTCTTCTGGACAAACGGCGGGTTCTGTCGACAGAAACCATTAAAATTTCGTTGAAATATAAAGATATTGCTAATAAAAAGTACTTACGATAAGAGTGACGGCACGATATTTGGCATAACTTGTCGTAAACAAGAGTCCAAAGAATACAATCAAAGATTTCATATTTATTTTGTGTTACAAATAAATGTAAAATAAATTAAAAGTTGAGAAACAAAACAAAACTAAATCGTATATAAGATGATATTAAAACAGATTTATGGCAAACATAGATTCATTGAAAAAGTTGAGGTAAAAATTCTTGTAAAACAAATTGAATTCACAAATAAAGTGTGAATGACTTCTCAAACAGAAACTATAAGTCTTTTTAGCGAAAAACTTCTCTCACTGTAAGAGTGGATACGAAAAAAGTTTTCTTCATAAGTGTATTACGCAAACGAATCCAAGTTTTTGTTTTTCTTTGGCCTTGATTTGCATTTATATTATAAGAGTATATATAATAAATAAATTGTTCATATAAAATATATTTATATAAAACTGAATTCCAGTATTTATTTGAGGAAAAAGGAGATAAAAAGAGAGCTGCAATTGAGGGGAATAGGAGTCCATACATGAGATTACTTTTATAAATAAATAACACATTTTCTAATTCTGTCCATAATTTACACGAAATTCCAGTTTTCGTTGCCCTTCCAGTCATTAAAAAAGCAGTTTTGACCAGTTTTTCATATATTTCTGATTTATGGATAAAATATTTTTAATTTACAAGAAAATCAACTAATTCTGTATTTATTTCAATTAGTTTTATGTGCAATAAATAGTTTATTATGATTATAGCCACGAGATCTCAATTAAAAACTATTTGCCACTAACTCTTTGACTTATAATGAATTCAGAAATTTAGTTAAATCTAAACCAAAAACCTAAACATTAAAATTTAAATAGAAAGCAATTAAAAGATGATTTATTAATTTGGGTTTGTTTTATAACAATTAAGGAGATTAATTTTTGATATTAAAGTAAACTATTTCAGTGATCACTTAGTCCCATATGTGGCAAATATTTTCGTAAATTATCTGAAGTTTGAATCTCTTATTTGACATCAAAATCCAAACATCACTTCAAATGCCATTCAGTATACGATAACTGAAAACTCATCAAAAAATTAATTACTATTAAACATAATAAGAGAAAATTGTTTAAATAATTAATGAAAACTACGATAAGATTGGAAAATGTGATTAAAAGGACGAAATCCTATGTCTAATGAAATGATGAACAATAAGTTGGAGAAAAGTTGTCAAAAGTATAGCCAAAAGCAGTGTTTATGTGTTGAGAAAACACATGAAAATCATGTGATCTCTGGTTTAGACGTAACGATAGAAACGATTGAAACAAATATGAATAAAGTGTTGACAAAACAGTGACTGATATTCAATACCGGAGTTTGTCTGCAGATATCACACCAAACACTCCCACCGATTGTCTTACCAGTGATTAGCAAACCAGTGATTGTGTCAACTCTTGTATATGTGTTTCAATTGATTTGTTGTTTGTTTTCTTAGACTAAGGATCGCATAAAATCCATACAAATATGTATTCATTGTTATCATTGATATCAACGTTAAGTCTATTACTGTTTACAATACAAATCACGTTATGTTTTGGCCGACAACTGACACGTGAAGACTTCGATGAGATAATTGGATCCAAATATTACCTCTTCATCCAATTCTATGCCCCAAAGTCTGCATTCATTATCACTAATACTTTGCTTACATTTTTTTTATTTACCATTAAATATGTCTTAAGATATAAGCAATTCATGAATTGATCCCATAGTGACTAACATATAAACGATTATCTGTTGCCATAGCTGTGGTCACTGTCAGAAGTTGGCACCCATTTGGGACAAACTGGAGGCCAAACTGTTGTCATTACAGACATCGCCGGTAATCGTGGGTAAAGTGGACTGCACTGAAGAGCGGGATCTCTGTTCGCGGGAATCAGTGATGGGTTTCCCGACTCTTAAGTTATATAAATCTCACGAAACAAATGGCATTGAATACGAAGGCGAGAGAAATCTGTTGAGTTTAGAGACATATTTAAGGACACAATTAGGCGATCAGATTGTGGACGGAGTGGTAGACGCCTCGGAAGAACAGGCATCGGATCCAGTGGTCGACACTCCCAAACCGGTCAACGGAATGCATGAACTCACGGATGAGAATATCGATGACTTTCTCAGCAAAGGTATTGTAAATATAGGCTTGAGATCTAATTTGAGAATATATTTAATTAACCGGTAATTGAATGGCATAATAGGTCGGCATTTCGTGAAGTTCTTCGCCCCCTGGTGTGGGCACTGCCAACGTCTGGCCCCCACTTGGCACCAATTGGCCCAATCATTTGAATTTGATACGTCGGTCAAGATATCTAAAGTCGACTGCACTGTGAATGCCATGTCGTGTAAGAACTTTGAGATCAAAGGCTATCCAACGCTGCTGTGGATAGAGGACGGGAAGGTGACCGACAAATATTCAGGTATTGACTCATAATTGCGGTTATAATGACTCGTGTTTTCAATATATTTGATCACTTCCTCAGGCAGTCGTTCTCACGAAGACTTAAAGCACTTCATCACTGAGAAGAAGAGTGAAGACAACAGAGAGAAAGTGACGTTAAATCTGAGTCTCGATAACGAAGACTTCGGTCCCTTAATGATGACTGAAGAGAATTTTGGCAAAATTATCAAAAAAGGAGTTACATTTGTGAAATACTGGGTTCCCTGGTGCTCCCATTGCAAACAACTCAGGCCTATTTGGCACCATTTGTCCACTAAGTTCTTTGGTGTCAAAGACGTTACTATAGCGAGTGTCGACTGCTCTCAACACGAGAGTCTTTGCAACAAAGAACATGTATGTTATCATGTGGTCAACCATTGATAGACAATTGATTTGAATATGCATTTAATTTGCAATAATTGTGGTTTAGATCGATGGTTATCCAACACTATTGTTATATAAAGACAATGAAAAGTTTGGTGAATATGAGGGCAACAGATATTTGGACGATATCTACGATTTTGTTACAAAACACTCGTCAGTGCCTGCGAAGGATGAGCTCTAAATCAAGTGATCGCACACTTAATGTTTGTTTAAATTATAAGTTTTTGCAATTTATAAGTAAATTAATTTACTTTAAAACCTAATGAATTAGTCATTATTTTTAATCCTTTAATTTTGTATAATTTTCAAATGATATTAAGTTATTTATATTTATTGATTGGTTTTAAATGAGACAAACAATAATATTACCGTATTAAAATCAAATAATTTATACTTCATTTATAATATTAAGCTAACATTTATAAATTTAATTAATAATATTTGTAAATAAAATAGAAATAAATAAAAATTTTATTATTATTATTATTAATGGCATAATTTGACATTTGGGTTAAACTCTTATCGCAAACACAATCCTAACTATAGTCTTTAAAATTCATTGAATAAACGCCTACTTTAGAGACTCACAACTGTTTTGTTTCTAAATTTCTAATTTATTTAATCATAAACTGAATCGAAGTCATATTATGGAAATATTAATTAAAAAGATTCTCTCTCTCTCTCTCTCTCTCCCTCTCTCTCTCTCTCTCTCTCTATTATGAATATCTTGAATATTATAACAGTTCTTATTGAAACAGAGATCTACATAAACAATAAATAATAATAAATTAATTTATAAGTCATTTATTATGTTTGGTTTAAATGAGAATGATTTTTGAGAGATTTAATGCCTAGTTATACTGTATAACATAAGTACTTATCGGTATATTTATTCATAGGTTTTACTCATCTGTAAATCGATTTGTCTGAATATGAGGTCAAAACGGTTTTTAAATTCAATTCAATGCAAACAAAAACAAGATTTATAATAAATTGTTTTCTTTAAATAAATGTATTTGTTAATGAAATGTAAGTTATTATATGCATATTAGGTGATGACCTTTTGCACAGACAATCGGTATTGGATTGCTATAAGAGAGTAGACCAACAAATTGAATACCAGTTTAGGTTAACAAAGAGTTTGTATAAATAATTGAAGATCTAATTTTAATTGTGTACAAAAAACAAGTTGTGGACAAAAACATGTTTTTGTGGCACAAAACTAAATGAATAAAATGAACAAAAAAAACTTGAGATTATTTGAAAGATAAGTTACGGAAAAATAAAAAATATATATTTAATAACTTAAAGGCTTCTCAGTTCAGCTCAAGAGCTACTTCTCTTATAATACACTAAAAATATATGCTATTTGGGGAGTAATTCAAGTGTTGATCCCTTTAATGGTTTATCTGGAACTCAATGTTAACTGATTTCTAAATTTTCTATTAAACATTTTTAAATTGATTAAATCAGAAAAATGGCTTATTTTTAATAAAATAAATTATGCGATAATAATCTCAAGTATTTGTAGATTTGCTGATGAGTTATTAATAGATCAGATAATTTGTATTGTTAGCTTTTTTCTATGTTTGTTACTGAATAGCGAAATTGGATTAGCATTTTATAAGCCCTCTTAATTATTTAATTATCTTATTATAATTGTAAAGTAGTAGACAATATGGGAACTACACTAAAAACTATTTGTATAGAAGTGTTTCCATTGATAAGGAAAATCCCACCATGGAAATGGATTATGGATTGTACTCTTTTTAATAAATGGTCGGAATCTAATTCAAAAGTTTGAACTCAATAAACTGTATATGGATTGAATGATTTTAGATAATTTTAAAAAATATTACATAAATAATAAAAAATTTTGCAAATATAACATTAGAGTTATGCTTTATACAATTTTTACAGTAATAACAAATAAATAACTGTATAATGAAAAGGAGTGAAGACAAGAATTTAGTTTTGTGAATAAATAAAATAAAAATCTTTTCAAGTTCAGTTCTTAAGTATTAATTAATGTTTAATGTATGATACAATACACATTTAATAATAACGGTATTTGGATGAAAGACTCGTTAGTTTTAATTTACAGTAAAAATACAAAAACAAATGTTTTAGAAAATTATTTATATTTGTCTGTATGTATTAACCTAAATGTATAACTAATTTGAAATGAGAGCATATAAATCAATTTAATCGTCTGAAATGTTTGAAACTTGTTCACTATATTTTACGCACAGTTTGACATTCAAAGAGAGTCTTTAAGAAGTTGTGTTCAAAATAAAAACATTATTAAAATTTCAATACAAATCGCGACGAGACTATCAATATAAGTAAACTGAGGATAATCCCAGAAAATTAATTCACATTTTGTGTTATATTAATGCAAATATGTTATTATATTTTTAGAACTTTAAACTAATTTTAAATTCTTTTGAAATCTTAAATTTTAAATTCAAGCTTATAACTTGAACCTATTATTTTCTATAATGCTGAACTAAAATATAAAAACGTGAAATTATATTTCAATTACAGTATAAATTTTAATAAAATTTATCTCAAGTTTGACTGATGAGACAATAACATATTTTTTTATAAAGTTACTGAAATAAAATGCAATTTTCCATAACTTTGTTTTTAATCAGTTTATGTTAGGTAACAAAACACAGATAATTAACATCAAACAAGTTAAAGAGTAATTTGAAACTTTTGAATTGAACCAATTATGAGATTATTTAGAATTATATCTATTATACAATTGCTTGTGAGATAAAGTTATCACTCGATAAATATTGAACATAAAAAAATACTAAATTTAAAATACGCTTTCTAACGAATTGATTTATGATTGAAACATTTTAAGTAGCACAATACTTTAACTGTAAGTGAATTTTATAACTTTATTATGAAAGTTGGATAATTTCTTTCACTCCAATTAAGGCATTAGAATTTATCTGAATATCTTAATACTCAAATGGCATAACTAACTAAATTTCACTTATTGTTAATTTCACCTATAAATTATTGTTAAAATTATATGAATTATGTGGAAATAAATGAGTTTATGTGAAAACATGTTGTAAAACTTCAAAATATAATTCACATCTAATTTAGAGTTAATATTTCTTGTCATAACTTAGGTCACTAAAGTTGTATAAAAGTACATTGTACATATTTTTTTGTAAGTTTTTTATATTCATACATGTGATAAACATATTTCACAATTTGTTAGTTTTTATTTATCCTATTGTTCTATCGATGAGAAATGTTGTAAAAAGATTTTTTAGACATCTATTGTATTGTAACCAAATAAATACAGTACAAAATTCATAAATCAAATCACATACAAGAATAAATAATAACCACAAACCTTCCGAAAGCATTTTATTGTATAAATAATATTTCGCACATGAAATACAAGACATGGAGTAGCACTAAATTTAACAAATTGTTTAGCAATTATTAAAATAAAAGAATTTTAATCTAACCCTGATTGATTGTGAACAGGAAATATTGTTTTGTTTTTTACCTTTAACTTAAATACGGTATTATTTGTAATAGTTACATATTAGCATAAGTTTTTCTAATTCATTTAATATTAATGGATATTTTCAAGGATTTAAAATTCAGTTAATTAGAAAATTAGTGAAATATTTACCACAATTAGAAAAATATCAACAAAATATAATTAAATTACACAAAAGAAAGTTGTTTTTTGTTAAATACTTAATATAATTTGCATTAATAATTAGCGTAACACTTATTGTTGTTGTGCAATATTGGTGCAAATTACTGTATAATTATAATGTTCAACTAATATCTCACAATAAATTGCATACAAAATGTTTGAATAGTTTTAAAAAAATTGATTTAAAAAATAAATGTGCGAAAACAACTCAAATGAATCACTTGGTTTTGTAAATTAGTCTAAAAGTGTAGATATTTGAAAGTTTTGTGCAGCAAATTAACATTCAAAGAGTTATAATTTGATAAATGATGGTAACGTAGGAAAGAATGTGCATGATTATTTATTCTAGTTGTTCACAACTCTATCGATTGAAATTATAATAAGAGTGATGAGTAAATGAGTGCTATTTTTATGCTCAAGAATATCAATAATGAGTTAATCTATGAATAAGAGAATATCTATTGAAGTGAATGGATGTGAAACTCAATTGAATCATCCGAGAGTTGGTTCTGAAGAATACGTTATTTTTGTTGTCAAAGTCATAGCAACCGGAAACCAGTTTTGCACGACAGCTCTCCCTGTGCTCTCTCTCTCTCTCTCTCTCTCTCTCTCTCTCTCATCCCTGCCCTCCCAATGACTGTACGTTGAGGTGTAGTGTTGAAGCAAACTCTGTGATGTGTGTGTTGTGTACAGTAGTGCAGATCCAGTGCTAACTGAGCTGTGAGTGTAAGTCAAAGGCCTTCATCTCATAGTGAACTCCAGTCTCTCTGTAATGCTCTTCACATATGAGTATTGAGTGAAACATACAGTCAGTCATTCATACAGTGATTCAGTGCTCGCATCATAACATCACTCCAAACAACAATTACCACTCATTTTCATATCATTTCCACGGATTTCATCCAATAGTCACTGAGATTTGGACTACACTTCCCGACACACAATGCTTTCGTGTATTAAATATATTGTAGTTTTCTATAACTTCTTATTTTGGGTGAGTTTCCTGAATATTTACCATCATTCACCCTGATCACTTATCATTGTGTTTATGGTCACTATTTGCGCTATATTCACATGTATACCATTTGCATATCAATTCAAATATTACCATGATACTATAATGATAATTAATTGCATCTGAAACTTAAGTGAGCGCTATATATATGAGTATTAATTAAATTAACTGATGATATGATACCTATTCTCATAGCAATAGGTTTATGTTTAGTATTATATTGCCGTTTATTTGCAAACATAAAATACACACAAAACATATTACCATTTATTGATCACAAAAAATCAAATAAAAGACTCAAAAGACTTGAAAATAGAGGCAAACATTCAATTGGTTTGATATCTAAAGAATAGACTGAATTGAGTGACAAATACACGATTAGTATTGGTTTACAATATTATTTAAATGCAATTATTATCGCATTTGAAATGTGAATAAACTTCATGTTGTGTTCAATGTATGCATTTTTAGCATGCTCAAAAGTATTATGCATTTTTGTTTTGTTAATTTTATACAAATTGCTGTTTAATTTATGTGAGAATATATTAATATATTTTATGCAAATCTTATATATTTTCCCCCATTATATTAATACCACTTATTAACACATTTTAATGTGCATTTAATTTGATTGAAATCTCATACAAAACAAATCTTACCTAATCTTTTGAGTTTGAATTCAAGTATTATATCAATGCTATGAATGAATGTTTTATTTATATTCCCCTCTCTTATCGTTTTTATATGAGTTTTTTGTTTATTTTATTTAATTTACACGAAAAGCAAATTATTAAATGAAGAAAAGAGTTTAATTATCGCTCAAAAAGATATTTGTTTTGTTAAACTCGTGTTATGTGTGCAACAAAACTGATGGCAAAAATTGTAACTCATTTTGACGTTTGGTTTGTAATCCCAATAATATCTACATTTTTACCACTTCTTCATCTGTGAGACCAGTTTCTGTCTTCAAAGACGAGTTTTCCTCAAATGTTTTCCTCAGACTTATTACTACAGTATAATATAATATTGAAATTATTTGCCCAAAAGCTCGCCATAAATATAACGACTATTAAAATATGAGCCCTTCTTAACAAACCTCTGTCTCTCTCCTTTCGTTTATAAATTAAATATTATTAGTATTGAAACCCTTTTTTGAAGTTTTAATATCAGATGAGGTGAGAGAGAGAGAGAGAGAGAGAGAGAGAGAGAGAGAGAGACCAACACTCGGATCAATAGTAAAGGTTTATTAAACCCAATCATTAGTTGTCTTCTCGAGTGTTTGGAAAATAAAGATTTTATTTAAATATTTTTCTTTTTAATTTATTTTCAAAACAAATATGTATTAAAAATTTTATGTTAAAAATCATTCAAAAGACGGGAATAAAATTTTGATCGGAATTATTTTTTGGTAGTTAATAGTTTTTATCTAAAGAAAGTTTTCTTATATTTTTGATAACAAATTCATAAAATATTTCATTAATGATTCAAATGTTTAGGCGGTTCTGGTTTTCGTGTGAATCTCTATATTATCTGAACGCCAAATAAAAGTATACATTATTTTCAAGAAATGCTTGAAAAATAGTCATAAATTTTAGGACTTAACTTATAAAAACATTCAAACCTATGAATGAAATACTCGTATTTTAAAAGTAATGAAAATTTATAGGTTTTATAACATTATTATATAAGAGACTTCCTTTTGAAGTATTTCTGTACGTAAACCAAAATAAATATTTTCTTGTTTCTATTATATTTATTGGTCTGAATTGGGCGTAAAAATAATGTCATATTTTTACTCATAAATACAATGAATTTTACGAGGTTTTAAAATATAAATTAATTAGTTTAAATTACATTTCTGTGTATTAACCAAATTCTTAAGTGAAGATAAATGGCATTTATATTGAATTTTTCCTTTTGCCCATAAATGTCTGTCACTAATTAAGAATTTGCAAAATAATATGCTTTTTTGCTAATTTGTAAAAATTACTTATGAAAAAATTGATACAGTATTTAAATTTATATAATTAATTATTATTATATTTCATAATAAAGTAGTGAAATCTTTGATGGAAAATCAATTTTATAATAATATTATTATGATTTGTGTAAATATTTATAGAAAAGTATTGTCAGATATAAAATATGTACATTTTTATATGCTAATGTTTCATATATGATACTTTAAATCTGAATAGAAAGCTAATACATAATAAAACATAAATGAGATTTTAAAAGTAATAAAACAAAATATTTTATAATATTAAAAATATTTTGCAACGTTTATCTCAAATGATTTTCCTGCTATTTTTACTGTATAGAAAATGCATAAATGTTATAATATATGTTATATGTCAGATTATTTTTACGGTATTTGAGTTATTATTAATTGGTTGAGTATTTATTAGTTTTAATTTGCTAAGTAATTGACGTTAATAATAAACCAGTACACCTTATTTACTAAAATATAGCTTGAAATCAATATTTACTAAGAATAATGGTTTTCGTAGGGTTTATATGAACTGAATTTTGTATTGATATCGAGTGCACGACTATATTCTTGTGAAATATTATCACTCATTGCTATCAAGAATCGTATGAATTATAAGTCAAACAACAGAACAATAATATATAAAACAGTGTTTGAGGCGAAGAAATGAGGGATTGTGAACAAGATAGTCATCTGTTGACAATTGAAACCGTGGTTTGACTGTAGAGTTGGGCCACATCTGCGCAAACCATTGCTCCCAACAAATGATTAGTTGAGAAGAGAGACCAGAATTTTCAGAGAAAACTGAAACTGAGAGACAGAAAGTGTTTTCACTACACCATAGACTCCGCATTCAGTGGCGTTTTGGGTATCAATTATTTGGCGGCTTTTCGCTGCAATCGTAACCGTAAACCAATGAATGGATGCACGCAGTCATCGATAGTCGTGTCTAACGTGTAGTGTATTTATAATATAATTAATTGCATTGAATTAGGAGTGTATTTCATTACATATCTATTAAAAGGGGGATACGCCACGTATTATAACGTTATAATAGCTGTAGTTTTCACTCCCAAACCCCTACCAAATGCATGTTTATTATAGTGTACAACACTTGGTGTGATTCATTGATAGTCTTTTCTCCGTTCAATTCAATCCTCTCTTCAAACATGGCTTGAAGTTTATGACAACTCATAAAACATTACCATTTTTTGACGTGTCTCTGCTTTTTATGCATATTTCCGAGCATTCATTCATTATTAATGATTATAATGAGAGCATTTGTGTGAATATAATAATATACTAGACTATGCACATTGTCTATTCAATAACAATACGTAAATATTTGTATACAAGTACACCATATATACCTTTATATACCTGAAAATATAGTGAAACAGTTTTTTAGTGAAAATATACATTTATTTTTAGTCTCTGTTTGCATACATATGGCCTAAAGGAAGCTAAAAAGTTTTCGCTTCTTTGAACCAAATAATTACTGTTTAGTCTCTCATTATTTTGTGGAAAAAGCGATGAATCGATAACTAAATCATAAATTGAATTTAGAAATAGGTTTTATTTTTTATGAATTAATTTGCAAAATACTGCATTATTTAATAAAAACGATACATATTTATCATTTGCATAATCCAAATGGGTTTCCATTCCGTAAGCACTTGGAGTGACTCAAAGCACTCATTACTATTCAATGTCTCTATATTTATAGTTCACATGATCTTCATATTCACGAATAAATTAATTGAATACCAGATATAATTTAAGCCATAAATCTAATCAAATAAAACTAATTAATTAATTTTTTATGTTTATTTATTGATGTGAATTTTGTTTACTATATTAAATTTTAATTATGTTTGTCATATGTTTTGGATCAGTTACTGGGAGTCGTAATCCTAGGTCTATCGGCGTACTTATGGTGGGACTCCCAGAACTACCTGGACCTCAATGAAGTGGACCAGTATTATGTGACACCATTCATAGTGCTGCTCATCCTGGGAGGGGTCATGACAATCGTCGGCTTTCTCGGGTGCTGTGGTGCTGTCAGAGAGTCATCCTGTCTATTGGGAACCGTATGTATCCTACCCTACCTTTCACTCACATTTGATCTAATGTTAGAACTTGCCATTCAAACGAACCGCATATTAAATATTTAAGAAATGATTGCTAATATTTGATATGAGAGGTAGAAATGCGATGACAAATGGATTGATTGATGAATTTATTTGTTTTGACAGTACTTTCTGTTTTGTGTGACAATGTGTGTGGCGTGTGGGGCATCACTATTCTGGGCCATTCACAACGAACAAACCGTAAGTCCATGCAATCAATACATACTTTTTTATACAAATTGTAAGAATTTTTTCTCTATTCCTGTCTTTTTGAAAAAAGCCTTTTTTGTTGCATTTAAACTGAATCTCAAATGTTTTGCATTTAATGACAGTTTTGTTCTGCAAAAGAAAATATCTGACAAATGAAATGAAAATTTTAAAACAACATACAATTTAGTTCATGCATTTATTTTTATACCCAAATTCATTATTTATGGGATGACTCTCAGCGTCAACTCAAAATCTTCAATCATTTTCACTTCTAATTACTACTAATCTAAGACTATAAGCAAATATAAAGTTAACTCTTATTTAATTTTGTTTTCTTTTCACAAAAACCCATTTCATTCAACTCTTTTTCTCTTATTTTATTTCATTTTCGTTTTGCGACTATAAATAAATATAGTAATTAAGTCTCATTCGCTTTCTATACACTTCTCTTATATACTTTCAACTCTAATATAGTATTTTTGATTAAAATTCTTGTGTTAGAAAATATTGTGTTTGGAATTTTTATATTAAGTTATTGGAAGTAAATTTAATTTTGATGTATCCGGGCATTTTTTGCAATATTTTAAAATGAGATTTTCAGTGAGAGATTCACACATCTTTGAGAACCCATTTTTTGTATGTCTAACTATTCACGCAAATAAAACTAAACTTTGAATGAGAGATGTCTTTAACACAATTGTGATGAAAGAATCGTTAAAATTGTGGCATTGAATAAATAATTGACAAATTCAAAATGAGAAAAATACCAGTAT